GCATTCCTGGAAATCCTGCGATACCATGTGTACCCTTCTGTCCTGCTAGCCCAGGCTGTCCAGTTGGACCAGGGAAACCTGGGTCTCCATGAAGACCTCTCTCTTTGCTTGCTGACCCAATTGGACCAGGGAGACCAGGCTGGCCACGGCTTCCTGGGATTCCTTTATCGCCTGGGTTATACAATAGAGTTTAATTTAATTTCATAATACAGACATTCAGTTCATTTGGTTCAATTGACACGTTACCAAAAGCTGCCTTTAAAAAGGGGAAGGGATGGCATTAGCTCTGCAGAACACAGCTTTAAAGGAAAACTGATTTTTCAAAATTCAGAACCGTCTCATGCAAATCTTGCTAGAATGTGAATGGTAGAAAACAGCAATACTGCAGTTGGTGTCCACAGGACAGACCATGCTCCACCCTGAATGAGCACAGTTAACAACTGATACTGCAACTAACTACAATGTTGTGAAATACCTCTAGGTCCAGGGAATCCTCCAAGTCCAGCTAATCCAGGATCTCCCTTGTCTCCTTTGAATTGCAGTGCCTGTTCTAGAGGCCCAAGAACAGGAAGACCAGGTGGACCTACATCGCCTCTGTCACCTGAAGAATTAAGAAGTCATGAAACCTTGCAAAATAATCTAACAGAGAAAGGCTATAGCACTAGAAGCTGCTAGACAAAAACAGAACTTCCATGGCTCCTGATGCAAATTCACTAGTAAGTGCTCAGCATCTTTGGCAAACAGGCCAAAGTATTTCACAAGGAAGAAAAGAACACAGTATTTAGAAGAAAACATTAAAAGTGCAGACATCTCAGAAGGTCCTTCTAAGTCCCTCTGCTGCACAGCCAGCAAAAGCCTTTCAGCTGTTTCTCACCTTTTTGACCTTGGAGTCCCCCAACTCCAGGGCTTCCTGTTCCTCCAGCTGTGCCAGGAGTTCCTTTAAACCCATTCACCCCAGGGACACCAGGCGGACCTGGCATGCCAGGGAAACCAAGCAGGCCAGAAGACCCTTTCTCGCCTGTACAGAAAAGTTGAGAAATAGAAAAGGAAAATTAGCCTCTTCTGGTACACTAACTAGATACCTATCTAGCTGGCAGGTAAAGGCTGCATGGGTATGGTCAATCCCCCAAAGCTGAGCAGTAAAACTTCATGGTGCAAGCACAGCATGGCCACTTCTCTCATGTATCTCCACTCATGATACTTTCACAGAATCACAGAATCTTAGGAG